TTGCTGCTTTTAAATTTCAGAACTGAAAGGAGACAGAGGGCAACCTTCCAAGCAGGAGTAAAAAAGATAATTCAGCAATTAATCTCTGGCATTGAGTTGGATCTGCTTGTGAGCAGAGGAACCAGGGCTGCAACTCGTGCCTTGAATGAGACAGAACAGTCCAACACCACATGTGTGTGTCTGAGCCCTCTGGCTGCCAAAACAGGAGAGCTTTGGTAGCTTGAGCCCGTTTTCCTTAGTTGGTAAAGACTTTCTTCATTTTTCAAGTTGTTTAGATCTGCTGCCCTGGGTTGTTCATTTATCCTTAAAGAGTAGAGAGTATTGATGARATACAGGCAGCTCAAAAACTCTGAAATACCATTTGCCATTCCTGGAAGTGTTCAAGGCCAGGCTGGATAGGGCTCTGGGCAACCTGGTCTAGTGGAASGTGTCCTTGCCCATGGCATGGGTTGGAAGGAGARGATCTTCAAGGTCCCTTCAACYYAAACCATTCTGTKAYTCTATGATTCAYTCTAAATTTGGAGCTTCATAGAATGGATGGGTAGAAAGAGCACAGGGCACAAAATAGCAAGTAACTTTGCACAGYTAGAAGCAAGAAAATAAATACTCTCTTTTTCGAAAGATGGAAATTGTAACAGTTTCTTCAGAAGAAATAAGCTATAGCATGAAACCCCTATAAATTTTACAGATGCATTTATTAAAAAATAATTAAAACGTTTTTCTTATGTGCATCTACATCAGGTAACAGAATGTTCGCCGTATTTATAAAATGACACGGAAAATGTGTTTTCTAATAAAGTAGTCTAAAAAAGATGTAGTGAAATAGAGTGTATTTACTAAAATAGATATAAACACATAAAATTAAAACTGTAGAAGATTATGATACTGTATCTTTTTGCCATAAAGATAAAAAGTATCCTAACAGAATGGGGCAGTTTAATAAGTTTAAGATGATAAAGGGAAGAAGCAGTCAATTGCAAACCAGGACTGCTGTTGGAACAAAACCCTGAAATGAAATTAGAAGTAGGTGGCAGAGGGGCTTTCATGCTATGTCAAATTTTAGCTCTTGAGATGGTCAATCCATTCTTGTTTTCACATCCTGTTAGTGGGATTTGCATTTGATATCCAAAAGATCAGATTCGTTTCCTGCAGATTGAAAGCATRTGCTACTTGTAAATCTCTTTTTTCCTACGGCTCTTTGCAGCCTGTGCATGCCCAGCATTCCTGTCATCTTTAATGGATGAACTGCAGCGATTTTCACCCCTTCAGATATATATGTAAAAGAACATGCATATTTTATAGCACTTTATGGATTTTTGCTTTGTTTCATAGTTACATGACTTTGTTGGTTGCCTGTAGTACCCCTACAGCCACATTAAACTTTTCCGCTTCCAGTCCTCCAAATTACTGTGACATAGCACCGGAATATTCACAAAAAAAATATTTTTTTTAAGGGGAAATAAATACTTGTATACTTGGAGCTCTGTCTAAGTGAAGGTTCTGTCAGTATATTTATACTGTTTTCCTCACACCTTTAAACATGGATCTGTCCATATAGATTGTTAGTAACTAACTAAATTCTACTAGAGATCAGTTTACCTTCTGAGAAATTAATCTTCCATATAACTTTGGAACAAAAGAGTARTGTTTACCACCTGAATGTAAACTTTTGATCAATCTTTGTTAAGGATTGGTTCSAGATTTGGACCATCATGAAAGCCAGGGTCGGTATTTGTTAGGRAGMRTTGTTATACCACAYAGRTAAGRCAYGGGAGTTGGGTGTTCAGGGTCTTGYTGAGAATTACAAATTCTCAGYGACTGKTCTGGATACCTGTGTTTCTTTATTTTGGCCTTGAGCTAACRAGCACATTCAGTAGGATTCAAGAGCATCCAGTAGGGAAAGGACTTCACACACTCCACTTTCTGGTTATACCCAAACTTTGCTTCTTGTTGTTTTCATGCATCCAGGTTCTTCTCACGCCCTSTCCAGCCCCCAAAACCAGGTTTTCCACAAGAGAAGTGAGGAYACACAAATGCTCTAGAACCGAGACAAACAAAAACACCTCATGTAGATGACAAGGTCCCATCTGTGTCACTGTACTCCAAAACCGGACCCCTTTCACTTACACAAATAAACTTCACTAGGTGCTGAGTTAACTTCCTCTGCAACAGTTATAATTCATTTTTCAGTTCATATTCTTTATTTTCAGTCTGTTTTGATGTAGACCAGCAGTAACTGCCCACGGAATTTGTTAGATAAGCTACTCTTCCCTACCTACTTGGAAAACAAGTCAACTCCCACTTATGTTTTCCCAGACTCTTGTAAACAGAGGCTACATAATATTGCACCTGGAGAAAGGGAGCAATTCCAGCTTTCTGGGTGACATCATGGAGCAGTTCCAGCTGTGAGTAACAGCCCAGGAGCAGGTGGGGTACAGGGTGTATTCGGGATGGCAGGATCATATTGCTGTTGGGGTGGAAGCTCTCAGTTTCAGTTTGCTTTTCTGCATATTAGTGTACAGTGCTGCCCTGCTTTTACAAGCAGGGAACTGAGAAAAGAGAAGAGAAGCTTTCCTGTAAGGGAAGCACTGTGGAGCACAGCAAAGGGAAGAGTCAGGATCCTGCACAGCAACCCAAGTGTTCCGATGTGAAGCCATGAATGCCGTGTGTGTGTGAGAGATTGACAGAGCAGCCACTTGTGATTCTCATTCACGTGTTTGGCTGGGGACTGCTTTTGTACAGAGCTGCTCAAATGTATTCCAGGAGCRCAGCACTCAAGGAACTTGGCCCTCAGGGAACCTTAATGCACCCACAATGCACAGCTTGTGTCTTGAGTTATTGCAGGGAGTGAAAAGGGAAGGCACAGGATGTTTTGCACCAGGGAGTCACCTTCCTTCTGCTTTCACGTGGTGAACAGTCAGTGATAATTAATAGTCAGTATTGCTTTTAAAAATGCATGTTCAGGACTTGTTCCTTGGAGTTTTCTTTGTGATGTTTTACTACATTCTTCATGGCTCTTCTACAGTGACATTTTTTTCCTGATTTTCAGTTAATTATTTAGTTTTGCTTGGTGGCTTTTTAGCATTAATGTTTGTCATTACAGTTGAGATAGTGGACTAAAAATACTTGCTTCAAAGCATTGTGAAAAGCCTGGCCCAATAGATTAATTTGCTCTAGAAAGGCAGGACAACCTTTAAGATGATTAAACTGTAGAGCCAGAAATATACTAACTACACAGAAAAAAAAAATCTATGCCAAATCTTGAAGTTTAAATTCTTTATACATGGAAATAGAGTAGGAAACATTCTAGTTCATACTGTAATTTCAGAGGTGCAATATGTGTACTACGCAAAACTATAAAAAGATGATTCTAAGTGAACTTTCAGGATTTCTGTTCTCTTAGTTCAGTCCCGGAAACTGTGAGAGATATGGCAACTGAAAAACTTCAGATGCAAACTTAATGATTAAACTCAGAAATGCTGAGATCAAAGAGAAACTGCTGAGAAGATGTGAGAATTAAGTCAGTTACAGATGTAAATAGAAGTTTCTGAACAAAAGATCTGTTGACAGTGCAAGAATGAAATCTTCAATCACTCAAAAAGAAAAATACAGGAGGATCAAAGAACATGTCAATAGACAGTAAAATAAAACCTCAACTGAATTAGTTAGCTAATTAATTTCAGCTTYAAGTAAGGGATAAGTTTTAACAGGGACCAATTCTTTCTTTTGTGGYTAAATGAAGTACAGATTAATAAAGTGAGAATTTGGAATTTTATCTTCATCAGTTGCTAGAAGGATAAGATCAGGGCAGAGACTGTTCTCCTGGTGTTTCCCAGTTAGCACAGATATAGAAAATTCACACATGGGGAAACTTATCTGAGTGTTTCATAGGAGTCTTATCATGTTATCTGGGGTTTCGTATGCCAGAGGTTGCTTCAGAAGGCTTTTACAAGAGTTTATCTTGTTTTTGGAATGCTGCTTGAGAGGATATGATTCTGCACACAATAATCTGAATTATCCATTCTACAGAAGTTGTTTTATTGGTTGTTGTCATGACTGTGGTCAAAGTACTTTTACCACGCTAAAAACATCTCTGTAGAAGGATGTGAGAAACACAGCAGGAGGCAAATTGTGACCAATCCTAATCCCAGTTTTTGGAAAAAGAAATAAATCTATAAGTGGTATAGTTTATACTTTTTGTTGCACCAGTATCATTGATGCCAGTACTGACATCTTTGCTTTTAAAAGATATAAAGCTTTCCGCAGGGGAAGTTCCAGCTTTATCTAAATTGTTACTTATGAGATCGTTAGGTCACCCAGGGCCRTGCCACAATTTCACTAACCCTTCAAACTTAGACAGGTTAGTGAGGTAAATTAAGCTTAGCATGACTGCTCTCCAGACCTCCAGCAACAGACAAGAAATAAATTAAAGATAATTAAGCAATATATTTTGTGGTGTTGACAATTTGGGAGTATGTAGGGGAGATGACTGATAYAGTTTTAAATTGTTGAAATGTGACTGGCATTCCACTGGGTTATGAATTGGCARCTAGGACATGATGACTGACTAGTTGTAACTGCCCTGCTGCATTTAGACAGACTGTCAGCTCCTCACCAAMCAGCCAAATGACAAAATCAAATTAAAAGGCACACTCATAGCCACTACTGTGCAAGCCTCTGGAGACCCTGAATAAGCAGATGGATCTTGTACTGAGTGCCAGATGTGAACTGGAAAGGAAACAATTCCAGAGGCATCATTCCCCTTCACTGGAAATTCCCTATGTATAGATGTTCAGATCTTGGGGCAAAACAGAATGCCTCAAAATGAGTAGGAGGAAAAATTGGATTCATAAAAATTCAAGTTCAGAGCCAATGCAGAGAAGAAAGTAAAAGTTTTGCCTTTTTAAAGAGATGATATGTAAAGTATCAGGTAATAGTTCTGTTRAGGCATTAATTGAAAATGTTTCTATTTGTTCATTTTGGTTTTTTTTTCGCACTTACAGTTGAAAAAAGAGAAGAATGAGTGAATGAAATTCCAGGAGGGATTCAGATCTAAAGTCACAGGGTAAGTGCCAGCAAGCTGCAGGAGTAAAGCAATGCCTTGACAAAGAGAAGCATTTTTCTATCAGAATGGAAAAAAATAACATGTGTCTAGGACATGTACCAGGATTAATGCTGGTATGGAACAGTCCAACTGACCAACTGCGAAGTCTTAAATTTAAATTTTTGGATGCTCAAGAGTGGAATTGCAGAAATGAAACCGCTATTTATGCTGATTGACTGCTGGTTTTGGCAGAGGTGAAACCAAATCATCATGTAAATTATTTTAATTACAAAACTAGGGAAGTTAATTTAGTCCAAAGTTTGGGTTAGTCTATTTTTSAGAGTAAATTCCAAACTGTTTTATTAACAGATGTGCTCATATATTTTCAAACCAAAGTCCCACAAGCTCAGTAAATGCTTTGAGGGCTTTGTTAAAAATATGTCCTGAAGGGAAGAACCACTGGCTCAGCTGAAGTTAGTGGAAGCTTCCCAATTCTTTTCATGAGGTCATAACATCACTCTCATTGTTTAAAAGACATCTTCATAAAGTACWTGTTAATTGTAAAATACTGTACATSCGGGGGCATCTTCTAAAAAGCTKTAATTGTTTYTGCACTCAGGTAGTAAAATAGCAGCAGTAAAAAAGATAGATATAGATCAATTTGTAATTTAAATATTTGCCTTATGCACATTAACCTTTAAATATTTTAATACAGACAAAACTTAAAGGAAAACCACTGTKGTTATTCCTAATTCACAAGGTATCCATTGCTTGCAGATATAATCTATAAATATTAAGCTGTGACAGTTTGCCAGAACTTCTCCTGCAAGKATCCACTGATGGAGTTTTGCTAAAGAGACTTCATAAAAGCAGCAAATTGTGGGACCCTACAGGTGCCAGCTGCAGCATTTGTTTCTCCAGTTTTTCCAATAAGATTTGTTGAAACTCTCTRTATCGCAACGTCTTTATTGGTAATGGATCCCTCCCTTAATTTGCACTGATGCATTTGGAATGTCAGCTTCCAAAACAAGGCACATGGGAGGCATTTAAAGTAGATTTTATGAAAGGGAAATGAACAAAGAGCATGTCAGGTTCCATTTTGATTTGCATGACAAATCCAGCATGCAGTGTTCTGGTGGGTCGGGCTGGGCTTGCCTGCCACTCACGGCGTTTGTCACTTTGGTATGAGCACTTYTGACAGTCCGTTATGTTAATTGTTCTAAGGATTGTTTTGCTGGGGGAAGAAAAGGAAAGGCATTTTTATTTTTGTGCTTGTTCCATCTACAGGAAAGAAGGGGTATCTAAAGGGAACAGAAAATGTTTTCAATCAGGTTTTGATCTATTTTTTTGGTAAGTAATCCTGTGAGGTCATCAGCAAAGTTCAGTATTTTAAATCTTATTGTTACTCACTCTGTGTGTTTTGAGTGGGAAGTACTAGGCCCCTAAACTGGAAACTTGGGGAGTCTATTGTTTTGGTGCACACCATTCTTTGATCCTTTGAGTCCCACAGTGATGGGTCCTGCAGAGTGGTTTGTGCTGTGCCTATGTGCTTCTATGGGATGATATTGTGGGGTTTTGACAAGTGCCAGCAAGAAATTTAATGCTTTCTGAGGCCTTGTTGGACACCCATTGTTATCAATGTGTGGGGAACTCAGACCTGTTGGTGGATCTGTGCATGGGACTGAATTCTGGAGGCACATTTGAGGTGAAGGTTGCTGTGGCCCCTGAGGGCACACACACTTCTCTACCATCTACATTAAAATAGTCATGGATGGTTTGGTGGAGGGTTTTGAGTTTCACAGWTCCTGACTGGCTGCAGGTGGCAGAACACTGTAGGCTGATCACAGAACAATTTTCAATTGACAGARCAATGAAACAAAGTTTCAGAAGACTCAGTTGTTTATGTTGGTGTTCTCTATCGCAGTTATTGCTGGTTTGCAGCCAAAGAGGAGCTGAATGGTTAAAGAGAGAGGASAGCAAGAAGATAGAATTTTCCAGAAGTTTCCAGGTAATGGCTGACATTTACCTTTTCAATTCATAACTCCTACACTGCATGTGGTGTTCTCATTTACATGTTGGGATTTATGTGCACCATGACAGATTTGATCCAAGTACAGAATGCTTTTATAGTATAAAATCATGCACTCAGATGCAAAAATATTCAAATGAAATGAAACAATCCAGTGCAGTAAATCCAATCACACTCTTGCTCAGCAATTCAGTGTGTCAATGCTACTACTGCCTCTTCCCCTTCTACCATTTTATTCAGAGACAAACTCCTGCCTTTTCCCCCAGGGAGGAGCGATGGCAGGGACACCTTCCACTATCCCAGGTTACTCCAAACCCCGTTCAATTGGCTTTGAACACTTCCAAGCATGAGGAATCCACATCTTCTCTGGGCAATCAGTGCCGGGCCTCACCACCCACACAGTAGAGGATTTTTTCTTAGAAATTTGGAAGRTGTAAAGAAGGAAGGTGCCATGTGAGAGATGCTACTTGTCCTGGAGGAATCCCATSAGGAAGCAAAGTGCTGGAGTAGGCTCTAGGCTGCTGTCCGATCACTCAGCCTGGTCGACACTATTGTGTTTTTCTCCAAGGCTGGTGCCAAGAAGATGGTGCCAAACTCTTTTTGACAGGATGAGGAGCAATCGCCATAAACTAAAACACGAAAAGTTCCATCTCGACATGAGGAAGAASGTCTTTCCATGGAGAGTGGCAGAGCCCTCGAACAGCCGCCCAGGAAAGTCGTGGAGTCTCCCTCTCTGGAGACATCCCAAACCCACCCGTGTGTTCCCTGCTCCAGGTGACCCTGCCTGGGCAGGGGGCGGACTGGGCSATCTCCAGCTCCCTTCCARCCCGARYGATTCSGTTCAGACGGTGCGGTTCTGAGCCCGCCAGGCGGGCAGGGGGCGGACTGGGCSATCTCCAGCTCCCTTCCARCCCGAACGATTCGGTTCAGACGGTGCGGTTCTGAGCCCGCCAGGCGGGCAGGGGGCGGACTGGGCCATCTCCAGCTCCCTTCCAACCCGAACGATTCGGTTCAGACGGTGCGGTTCTGAGCCCGCCAGGCGGGCAGGGGGCGGACTGGGCSATCTCCAGCTCCCTTCCARCCCGAACGATTCGGTTCAGACGGTGCGGTTCTGAGCCCGCCAGGCGGGCAGGGGGCGGCAGAGCGGCGCGGCGGCCGCGGAAAGGCGCGGGCAGCGGGCGGAAGCGGCGGCGGTGCCGGGTCAGATCGGGCCGGGCACAGCGGAGCCCCGGGGGCCATGGCGGAGCGCATCGAGCAGCGGCTGGAGGATCGCATCCCGGAGCTCGAGCAGCTGGAGCGGGTCGGGCTCTTCACACGCAAAGAGATCCGGTGAGCGGGGCCGGGGCCGGGGCCGGGGCGGGCGGTGAGCGCACGTGGTGCGGCCGGGAGCGCTCCGGGTGCTGATCTCCCGTTCCCGCAGGGCCGTCCTGAGGAAARCCTCGGCTCTGGAGTACAAAATCCAGCGGAGAGCGCTACGGAAGGAGGATTTCATTAATTACATCCAGGTAGGCTTTATCGAGCAGCAGAACAAGGCATTTCTCGATGCAGATCCAGCTCAGTCAGACCCAAGGAGTTTTGTAGTGACCCACGTTAGAAACAATTCAGAAAACGGAGACCCCTCCCCATCTGGTCCCTGGTGTTCTCCTGTGAGCTGTTGTTGGTACCAGAGCATGAAGCGTGGCCAGGAGTTGGTGTTTGAGTTTGGGATCAGACAGACTTTTCTCGTGTTGTGACCATTTTCTGTAGTTTCTTGTCTCTCCAGGGATGTAGAGCTCCCAGCTCCCTGATGTGCTGTGCAAATTGTAGTTAGGTGGAATTAATAAGTTGGGTATTATGAAAAAGTTCCTAAAAGAGTGATTGGGCACTGAACCGGCTTCCCAGGGAATGGTCACAGCCTGGAGCCTGACAGAGCTCAAGGAGTGTTTGGACAATGCTCTAAAGCACAGGGTGAGATTTTGGGTGTTGTGCAGGGCTAGGAATCTTAGACTCAACCAAAAATTACTGCTTATGGTTCTTACCTGTAATGTTTCTAGTCCACCTGATCATCTATAACAAACTTGATCCGTACTTTCTTGCCTTATTTTTATGTGCCTCATCACTTGCTTTTAAATGTTTTTTTTTCTTCCCATTCTAGTATGAAGTTAATCTGCTGGAACTGATCAAGAARAGAAGAGCAGTAAGTTTGACAGTTATTAAGAGTGCAAAATACTTGGTGCCAAATTTTCTGTTGCAATAAACTGAATGTTTTTTTCCTTCGTAGCGCATTGGATACTCATTTAAGAAGGATGAAATTGAACACTCTATTCTGCAAAGAGTCCACAGCCTGTTCAACCGAGCTACAGGAAAATGGAAAGTAAGTTTATTTGTACTGAGATTCAGAATACTTTTTTTTCTGCATGCCAGGTCATTGTACCCAGAGTGTGTTGGTTGATTGTCAGAGTACAARTGATTTTGTACATTGTGAGGTTGATTCTCTTCCTCTTTTCATTTCCAACAGGATGATGTCCAGCTCTGGCTTTCTCATGTTGCATTTTGCAAGCAGTGGGTAAGTTTTCAAAACMTGATCTTACCCAGGCTGAGATACTGCATAGGTGCTTATTCACARACCTGAAACTCGATTTAAAGTCAGGGGTACACACTTTACTGCCACATGCTATAACACYGAAATAATTTTGATCATATTGTTGGAGCTGCTTGGGATTTTCASTGTATGTAAGTGTAGAGTTTGACTCAGAATGAATTAGTATAAAATCTGRTGCTCACAGGGGCAAAGATAAGGCTGACTGCATTAAATCTGGAGTACCAGTAGGTTTGTGAGAGCCAGAATATCGGTTATACCTTCTCTAGAGTGAATGCCTCACCTGTCTGTGAATTGTGATTTTGTTCCAAATATTTCTTGGTGCATTTGGACTTCAAATGCTATGGTGAAAAGTCTAATTGTGGCAGTTCTGTACTTGGTAAATTTATCTGTGCAAGGCTTCACATAATTACCAGCATTCAGGTATTATCATTTCTGTACTGAATAAGGTGACTTTGCATGGTAGTGGAGGTGRCCAAAGGAAAATACAGTCTCTACCTCAAAAGAGGGCATGAGTTTGGGACTTGGGTAACGTTTGTGTTGGCTGTGTGGTTCAGAAAATTTGAGTTAGCCATGCTACTCTAATCTGGTGACATTTAAATGCTGGTCACTATTGAGCAAATACATTTTGTACTGAAGCTAAAGTAGCAGAGAAGCATCCTTTCCAGAGCAATTATACCACAACTTCTAGTCTATTTTAATGAAATGTTGATGCCGGGGGTTGAATTCAGTACTAGAGTGGGTGAAACAAAACTACTTGTTTTACAGAATTCAAAACATCAACTCAGCAAGGTGTTCTCTACCATGTTGGCCATTCATTCCAATAAACCAGGTAAATAACACAAYGGTGAGTGCTGCATAAATGCCTCAGCACAGATTGAATGGTGTTGGTTTAAATTCTTGTGGATCTCCGTTCAAGCTGTTGGGGTAAAAATTCCTACTCTGTTTTTTGCCTTGCTGCTGCTTCAGAGAGAAGGGCTCTAACAGGGGTTGTGCTGAGCAGTGGTAAGGGGATGTGAAGTAGGTCAGAATGACCAGTTCCCAGGCAGACAGGGGACTACATAGATGTATCAGAAGTGAGATGTTGAACGCTTGTGATTGCTGTGGGCTCTGAAGACATCATYAGATCTGTAGCTAAACCAGATTAAACCTGCTGGGTCTGCCCGGCTGCTTTATGGTTTTACATAGGAGATAATCAGTCTTATTCCAATGCTGAGCTCATGTTGAGAGGTTAAATAAATGTATTTGTGTCACCTGTTGCAGCACTATGGATTATGGCAGCAAAGTGGGAAATGGAGACACGACTGTCATCAGAAAGTGCCAGGCACTTGTTCCTTCGTGCTTTGCGCTTCCATCCAGAGTGCCCTAAACTTTATCAAGAAGTGAGTTCCTGTTTTTCTTCTATGACTTATTTGATCCATTAGAGCAAATCAGTTCAGCACATTTCCCAGATCTTGTTTTTTCATTAGCAGGAAAACAACTCCAAAACTCCTTTCTAAAGTACTGTTAAGGTCTGCTAGGACATAGTTAGTCTGGCATCCCCAATCTTTGTTGAGGAGCTTGGTTTTCTTTGAGGGCAAGTTAAGGTTTAAAGAATGACTGAAAAAAGATCACTGCTACYTGTGGGAAATTTCTGGGCACTGGGCAGTAGAGGTAGTTGCACAAACCTTTGAAAACCAAGGCTGTAGGACATATGTGTGATGTGGCAAAATCCTGATTTGTAGCTCCTGAGAGCTTGTTTTACTCTGTTTGTGGACTTACATTTTTATGATTTATCCCTGCAGTAATTTCATTTTGTTGTCACTCTTGCAGTATTTCAGAATGGAGCTTATGCATGCTGAAAAACAGAGGAAAGAGAAGAAAGAATTTGAACAAGCWAAGATGGATTTGGTAGGTCAGCTAAACTTACTTAAGAGATACTGCCTACTTGTGTATTCCATGTTGAAATTCACAGTTTTGGATTAATAATTTATTTGACCATGGCTTAGAGAAAGTATTTGTTCATGTCCTGCACGTGGGGAGCTTTTCAAGTGTTTGCTGATACTCAGCTTAAATATTTCATACATTTATGTTTTCTCTGCATTTGTAAATCTTTTATTACATTCCCCAGTCTGAAAATTAATAGTAATTTCCAGAAAGGAATCGTTGACCTTCCTATGGTATTTTTTTGTAGTTGTGCAAACTACATAAAAATAGACTTTCATGAAGAAAAACATTAATATATTCTGATTTTCTTTTCCCTGTTGGCAAAAATGATAGCTGAGAAAGGACTATAATTTCTTCAACAATATGCTTGATATTTCAGGGGGAATTCAATTACTCTGAAGAAATTCTCAATGGGGAAATGGCTCGCATCGTCTACAGGGARGCTTCTCAGAAAATTAAAGGTGAGTGAATATTTCTTGTACTTACTCATTAGGAAAATTGTCAGCTTTAACAATTTCTGCAGTAGGTACTGCTGATAGACCTCACTTCCATGCACACACAAAGATCCATTTTCAAATGCCCCATTTCTTCAGTAGAAYCTAAATAATGCCAGAATGTCAATTAATGGTGCTGATAGTTCTGATTTCACATCTTTCCTGCAGGCCAACACATCTTCCAACTTTAGGGCTGAAGAGGCCCAGTGCTGGGTACAGTCTCAAAACTTRATTGTTTAAAAAAGAAAAATGAAGGACAGCTCAGAGTTACACACCTTTTTTATTTTGCTGAACATTAGATAACAACTAATCAGCTACCACTAGTGGCAAAGAAGTAAGAATTCAGACTGATAACAAACCATTCTAAACTAGGCAGGCTTGGTTAAAAAAAAGCATTTTATTGAGAGAATTGGGTAAAATAACTGCAAACTAGTAGCAGATGTCTTTGGGAAACAKGTCAAATCATGGCATGTGGCATTTTCCAAAGTAAGTTGTGGAGATACAAGATGGACACAATTCCTGGACCTCTATTTTGTGGAGCTTTGGAGAGAGATCTGTCCTGAGTGTGGAGCATTTTATGTTTGCATGGTGCAGTCAAGTGAGGGAGGAGAGGAGGTKCTGATTAAATTTGCAAGTGTGGAACCAAGCTACAGAAATGCAAAGTGTGCAATTGATATAATATGTTGAGGAATTCTTTAGCAAATACTCCACTTGATAGTTTTTTCTCCTCWTGAAATGTAGGTGTTGAGTTCCAGCTGGCTGTGCTCTCTATTGCAAAGCTCTTTGATTTTACCCAAGATTTGCAAAAGGAAATTCTTGAAAG